AAAATGATGCTTTTAATTAATTACCTAAAAGAAAAAGAATAAAAATTGATTTTGATTTTTGAAGATTTGTGGGTTTGGGATGGGAATATGCAATTATAAGAATTAGAATCTTAAAAGTTTTGATTCCTAAAATGAATACCCAAAAGTTATTGGAAAGGATGATGGTGACACAAAATATGCTTCATTATTAGTATTGGAAAGTAATAATGTCACCGTAACCAGCTTATTTTTCTTTTATTAATTATATTATTATTATTTTAAAATTAAAATTAAAAATATTAAATAAATTTGTATAGCACACCTATAAATATGATAGATTTATAATTAATACAATATTTTAATAAAATAAGAACATTAAATAGTTTTAAATATGCATTGTACGCATAGAACACATATTTTAAAAATATATGAAGTTTTTATAAAATATATATTTTTTATTTTAATCTGATTGTGAAAAAGAAATATTGTGATTTAAAATTATTTTAAATTTTTAAGTGTTGAGATATTTTTGTTATTGAACAAATGGAGAAATCATGGTTATATTTTCTATTATAAATGTTGGATCAAATTATTTTATGGCATACTTCGACTAATGAACGACTGAAAGAAGGGATCATTTTCTATTTTCTATATTCTCACTCTAACAGAAAACCAATCATGGCTTCGAATTTAAGTCTTTGTGTATGTAGAAAATTTCGTTGGAAGATTCACCTACCGAAAACAAGCGTACAACACAGATTGATCCAGATTAATCATGGTAAAATCTTGAGAAATTGAGAGGACAAAAACAAACAAACGAGAATACATTAACATTATAAAAATTAAAAATTCTGTTAATGTGAAAATTAAGTGAAAACAGCAAGAGCCAAAAGAGTAATTTCCTTTTTGTTTTCATGAAAATTCAAACGCTTAATCCAGGTTCATAAGAGCTTATGTTTCTTGACCAGTGGTCACCAAAAGAAACTTCAATGAGAATTCAGAGTTCGTCAACCTTTTTAATTTGACTTTGACTTTTAAAAACAAGCCCTCAAATTCCAACCATTCTAAACTCAATCTACTTTACTTTCCTTTGTCATACGTGGGGTGGTGTTTGTTTTTGCAGAAGTAAAAGGTTTGTAGTTTACAGATTATATATGTAGTAGAAGAGGTGAACCAAAAGTCTGCAGTTTACAAGAAGAAGACTGTTTATTTTTTAATGTCTGCAGACTGCTAAAATAAACTGAAATATGAATAAACTAATTTTTTAAACTTAAAAGAGTTTTGCAATACTAAAATTTAAATAATTTTAGTTTTATAATACTGAAATTTAAATAATACATACAACTACAATAATAATTTTTTTAAAATAAATCAATCCATATTTTAAAATAAATCAATTCATACTGAATAAATTATTTAATAAATAACTTTATTAAATTAATGTCTGCAAACTGCTAAAATAAACTAAAATATAAATAAACTGATTTTTAAACTTAAAAGAGTTTTGTAATACTGAGATTTAAATCATTTTAGTTTTACAATACTGAAATTTAAATAAACCATATAACTACAATAATAAATTTTTTAAAATAAATCAATTTATATTTTAAAATAAATCAATTCATACTAATAAATTATTTAATAATCTTATTAAATTAACGTCTGCATATTGTTAAAATAAACTGAAATATAAATAAACTGATTTTTTAAACTTAAAAGAATTTTACAATACAAAAATTTAAATAATTTTAGTTTTACAATACTAAAATTTAAATAATCTATACAACTATAATAATAATTTTTTTAAAATAAATCAATCAATATTTTTTTAATGTTCTTTGAAGAGGTTAGAAGAGCTTTGAAGACATAAGGCTACGTCTGCACCAAGAAGAGGATGCACAGACGTTAGAAGAGCTTCTGTCTTCTAAAAACAAACGGTCTGCGAAGCCCAATATCTGCGCGTGGTCTGCGCGGCACAGACATAAGAGCTTTGAAGACCTGTAAACAAACACCACCTAAGACAAATACAGAATTTTATATCAGTGAATGATACTGAGAAAATTAAATAAAAATTTAAGAACATTAAATTACAAAATTTTATAAACGTGAAATTATATGATCGATAAAAAATACAGAAAAACATATTTAAACTATATAAGAATTTAAAATTTTATAAGATTAAATCACATCTCAACAACCCCTCGGTCCATCCCCGCCTACAATCCTATAGGAGCAAGCAAGTGGGTTTTCCTTTTCCTCCTAAAGCCTGTAGTTTTTGGTCTGTTGAGATGGAAAAGTAGATGGATTAGGATCAAGTTCATTGTGCTTGTACATTGAATATGTCGTTTTCTTTGGTTTGGCTAAAACATGTGTAGATGATTTTTATCTGAATTTATTTTTTTATTTATTATTTTATATATATATATATATTATATATGTATGTAGTATGATTTTGAAAACGGTTTTCGAAAAATATATAATATACTTTTTAAAAATTGATTTTTAAAATATATAATATATAGTTTTGAAAATAATTTAAAAAAATATATATAATATATAGTTTTTGAAAATGTATATATTATATAGATTTTGAAAAACATTTTTGAAAAATATATATAATTTATAGTTTTTAAAACATTTTGAAAACATCTATATAATATATAGTTTTTGAAATATTTTTGAATATATATATTATATTATTAGATTTTGAAAACAAAATTCAAAAATATATATATTATATATAGGGATGGCAACGGGCCGGGTATTGGTCTCCCCGTCCCCGTTTAAAAAACTCGTACTCATCCCCGCTTAAAAAACCGCGGGGATTTAAATAGGGATCCCTATCAGGTAATCGGGGAAAACCGCGGGAAAACGGGTATCCCTGTTTACCATAAACGCTTATTTAAATTGGTATTGGGCCGGATATATATATTTAAATTAAATATATAAATATTATATATATTTTTAAATTTAAATTAAATTTATTAATATTATATATATATATATAATAATTATTTTTAATATTTATCGGGTCGGGTATCGGGTAATCGGGGCGGTGATTACCAAACCCGTTCCCGTCCCCATCCCCGTTTAACATAAACGATTTTTCCCGTCCTCGTTTAATTCGGTTTTCCCTGTCGAGTTCGGGTTTTTTTACCATCCCTAATTATATATAGTTTTGAATTTTAAAAAAAATATATATATGTATATTATAGTTTTAAAAATTATTTTTAAAATATATATTATATCGTTTTGAAAATTATTTTTGAAGAACATATATGATTTTAAAAATGTTTTTTGAAAGCATATTTCATTTATTATATTAATATTAATTATATATATATATATATTTTATTTAGTTATTTATTTATTTATTTTATTCTTTTTAGGGGTCCAATTGTAGTCTAATGGAATCGGTTTGGAGGAAATAGGCCTAATCTAACTCGATGAAAATTAGGTTTGGGAACCCTAAAATAATTGGCACCGTATAGGAGGGATTCAAGGGGGTGCACGTGAAGCCACGTGCCAGTCAACGGCGACCGACCGAGATCCTCAGGACTGACCCATCCCGGGATGATCGGTCTCACAACGCCACGAACCCCCTTACTTCGGGGCTCAAAACACCAAAATCAGGGCTATAAAAGCCCCGGTGAGGCCAAGCAACGGGGAACCATCATCGACAGCACGACCACGGGAACCCATCAACCAAAAACACAACATCAAGCCACAGAAAAGAATATAAACATCAAAACACCAACCACAATCAAACTACAATGGGAAAAGTACAACATCAAACCATATCGAAATACAAACCACAACAATAAACCACAATACTCAAAAGAAAGCCCAAAAGCCAAGCAAAACACGAACACAAGAACGTCAGGGAAGCGAAAGGTTTTTCACAAAAAAGGTAAAAAAAACCGAAGCTTTTTTTTCTCAGATCTACATCGAGGGGGCTTGATTTTGAGTGATCGGGGTTCAGATTTGGTTCAAGGGGGTTGTGGAGAGTGTTCTGGGAGGCGACCAGCCTGGTGGCCAGTTTCTCTCCGGTGAGGGGTTGTAGAGAGAAGCCAAAGAGAATTCTTTGTTCTCTCTTTTAGTGAGAGAAAGAAAAAATGAAATATGAGGGGATGGCCTTTGAAGGCCGATTTTTGGGAGTATAAATACTCCCATGCGACGTCGTTTAGGGGAGAGGTTTATGCATTTTTATTTATGGGTAAATTACACCCACAGTCCCTGTAAGTTGTATATTATACATTTTAGCCATTGAATTCAATTTTCAATATTATAATTTGGATCTCGAATTTATTATTTTTACATTCTAGTCCCTAATTTATGTTTTATTCGAAAATGACCTAGGAATTTATGCATGTTTTAATTTAGCCACTATTTTATTTTTTTCCTTATTTTGATTTAACCACTGCTATTTTAATTTTGGCATTTTGATCATTATTTATTTATTTATTTATTCAGTTTTTAATATTTATTTTTTTTTAACATTTTTCATTTTTTTTATTTCAATATTTAGCATGTTTTATTTATTTTATTTTGTTTTATTTCATTTTTTATTTCGGTTGTTTATCTTTATTTATTTATTTTCTTTTTTTATTTATCTCTATTTATCCATTTTATTTATTTTATTATTATTATACTAATTAATTTTTTTATTTTTTATTTACATTCTGACAATATTTTTAACTCTTTTCAGGGGAATTTTTATCTATTAAAGGTAAGTAATTCGAATCGAATTTTTAAATATTAATTTAAATTTCTATTTTTTCGCAATTAAGACTAGGGGTGTGCAAAAAACCCGATCCGATCCTTTGATCCGATCCGAAAAAACGAATATCCGATCTGTTTTTCAATTTTTAGATAGTTCGGATAGGGTATCCGAAATTTTTTCCGATCGGTAAAAAATAATTTTCGGAATATCCGAAAATTCGATTTTTTTTACCTATTTTCGATAAAAAAAAACCTTTATTTCCCAATTCTGTTTACTTTTGATATGGTTTGTATTTGTCTTGGTGTAGTTTTGGTTTTGGATCTTTTCAGGATTTCGATAGGGTTTGGCCGATTTTCGACTAATCACAATCTCGTGATTTTCGGAAGGTTGATTTTGTTTATTTACATCTTTTCGTTTTCTCGTTTTCATCTTATTATTTGTTTGAATTATTATTTATTTATTGGTAATTTAGGTTGTGCAAGGGATAATCAGTGAGTTGGAAGCACAAGGAGCTCTACCAAGGAGTAATTCGAGGGTTTCTTCGCTTGCTACTTGCTGTGGACCAAGGTTAGCTGGATAATTTCTGTTTGGCTGCCGAGAAAATTCTAGAAAGTTAAGCACAATGGAAAAAGTGTATTAATTAGCTTGACTCTTTAACTTAGTTCTATCTGGACTAGGTTCATTACAGTAAATATTTTACAATAGCACTGAATTTTACTGTAACTTAAAGTTGTCTGAATTTTTCTGGTGTACAACTAGGATTTATTGGTAGCTGAAATTCGATAATTCGTGGTGATATTAGAGTTTCCTGTGTGTTTGGTTGTAGATTTGTTGAACTTTTGTGGCAACTTTCATTGCATGCGTTAAGAGAGGTTCATAGACGGACTTTTGCATCAGATGTTGCTTCTAACCCGTTGCTGCACCATTGACTGATGTTGCATTTTCTCATGCTGCTACACTACTTCCTGTAACAAAGGTGATGCTGCTACACTATTCATATGAAGCACAATTGTAGGGTTTTTCCTCATATTATAGTTCTTTTGATTGAGAGTTTTAAAATTGCTTTTCTGGACTTCCATAGCAGTAAAGTAACATGCTTATAAACAGGCTCGAATTGCACTTGAAAGGAGGAGGTTTCTGAAAAATGCAGAAACAGCTGTGCAGAGACAAGCTATGTGGTCAAACTTGGCTTATGAAATGACTGCAGAGTTCCGTGGTCTTTGTACTGAGGAGGTAAGTAGATAATCTTTCATTTGAACTCTTTCTGACCATATATGTCAAATTATCAATGTAATTGGTGTGATTTAGGAAAAAATGGCAGTAAATCAATAGAATTAAGACTGAAAATGTGTTCATGATGTTGCTACATCCCATATCTATAGCATTTGAAAATGTCTTTGTCAGATGGCAACGAATGCCACCCACCACTCCAAAAAAATACCCGTCATGAACAACAATACATGTAGAAAACAATTATATGTATATGTGTTCGACACTCGTTCTCGAATCCGAATAGCATAACATAGAGTAAAGCTAGAATTGCATATTATTAAACCTGTATGAGAACTAGAGCAACCACATCACCAGCAGGTGCAAGATGGCCAAATTGTGTAGGGAACAGAGTTGCTAGTATTACAACAATAGCTGTTACTGCAGGAAGGGTGCCCCATTCAATCTTGAACAAATTTGTGAGGTAAGGGCGAATGGTGCTAATTAATGACTTGTTGGTTTATTGTAATATTTTTATTTTGCACATTTTATGTTGGTTTATTGTGTTGTTAATGTACACTTCTTTATGCTATTTAACATTTAGGAGACTATTTTATTGTACTATGTTATTTAAATTTTAATTGTAGTAGGGCATGTAATTACATAAACAAATTGTTAGAAAACAAGCAAATATGAATATTTTAATTTATGTTAATTTTTTTGAATTTTTTACAAAAAAAAAACGGATTCAGATCCGGATATTCGGATATCCGATCCGAAATTTCGGATCGGATACGGATCATTACTTTAGGTAACCGAAATTTTAGGATATCCGAAAATTCGGATCGGATAATATTCAATATCCTTCAATGCACACCTTTAATTAAGGCAACCGACAAATTAATTGGTACCGAAAGGGTAGTTCAAGGGTGTTAATCATTCTTTGATTGTAACCAACTCTCGAACCCGACATATTTATGATAAAACGCAGATCAGGTAAGATGGTATCTTATCTACCTAAATATCGTTTTAAAATGATTAGTTGCGACTCTAACCCATTTATTTAAAGTCGAAGCCCGCGACAACTTGCAAAACAAATGAAAATATTATGATTAATTTCATTGTATTTGTGATTATCTTCATACAAACATCTGCTGGAACGTGCTGCCTCGACCAAGCAGGTTACCTCGTTCTGCAATGTATGATCACCAAAAGTCCTTACAAGAGCAAGATACATTCTTAAAATTGTGGAACCTGAGGGCATCCCTGACTATGATCTCTCGACTGTAAATTTCGGATAGAAGCTTAAAGACCGTGTGACAATCTCCGCAAACTCAAAGATTCTTCATTATTCTTGTAGTTTCTCCGGTGCCGGAGTTGACTAACCCGAACGCCAATGGCAATTTCTCACTGTGATAAGACACAACAGTTTCCTTCTCTTCTTCATCTATATCAAATACTACTTGCGCTGTATTGGGAACATACCCTGCAGATTTAAGGCGTATTGCCATATCTTGGAGCATGGATTCAACCCCTTTGTCTTGCAAGTGAGACTTGTCACTAGCCAAAAACCGACAAGTAGTTCCCCGAAACTCGATATAGCTCCACCCGGGAGGCTTTTGGATGCCTCTATCTTCCATCACCTTTCTCACTCCCTTAGCTCGTTCCCATTTGTTGGTATTGGCAAGCATATTGGACAACAAAATATAATGAGCTCCGTGATCAGGCTCTAGTTCGATTAGTTTTTGGCAAGCAACTTCACTGACTTAACATTTCGATGGAGTTTACAAGCACTCAATAAAGCTCTCCAGATTACCGAGTTGGCCTCAAATGGCATACTTTGAATTAAATCATAAGCTTCATCCAAGCAACCATCTCGGCCAAGGAGGTCAACCTTGCAACCATAATGTTCCTTATGTGGTTTAATACCATAAACATACGACATCGATCTAAATAGCTCTTTGCCCACTTTAATGAGGCCACTGTGACTGCAAGCAGATAAAACTGCCACAAAGGTAACACTATCCGGTTTCAGCCTTATTGATTCCATTTCCCCGAAAACAGGTAAAGCGGACTCACCAAGCCCGTGCTGAGCTAGACCAGAGATCATCAAATTGAAAAGTGAAACAGTCTTTAAACCCTTTGGAATGCTGTGAAACATATGCAGAGCAGAATCTATCTTTCCGCATTTTGAATATATATCGATTAACGCAGTTGAAACAATAATGTTTTTGGCTGCATAACTCACCCTCAATGTACCTACTACGTAGCCTCTCACCTAAACTAAGAGCTCCAAGTCTGACACAGGATGAAAGAACAGCAGCGGTGAAAAAACATACAACAGCGCAACAAAAGTGAACTCATCGGGCAGAACACCCGAATCTTGCATTTCTCTAAATAGATTCAGAGCACGCCCTGATTGGCAGAATACCCGTACCCATTTATCATAGTATTATAAGAAACAAGGTCTCTAACAGGACTTTCTTCAAACACAATCTGGGCATAATTCAAATGTCTGAAAACCTAATAGAAATGCATCAAAGCATTCTCAACAAAAGGATCCGATTCAAACCCAATTTTTATGACATGACCATGAACTTGAACTCCAGGTTTATGGGTCGATAGTCTTGCACACGAGTTGAGTAAAAATGGGTAAGTGAAGTTGTTTGGAGATATATTTACTTGGTGGAGCATGGAGGAGTAGAAGCCAAGTGCTTTTTCAGGGAATTTACTAAGGGAAAATCCCCTTATTACGGTGTTATACACGAACTGTTTTGCATTTTGAACTTGGAAGAAGAGATTCTGAGATTACTTAGTACCATCTTCGGAACCCAGAAAGGCAAAGAAAGAGATGAGTCGGCTGATAGGGAAGACATGGTGTTGGAAGCCATTGAGGATTATTTGAGCATAAACTTGAAATGCTTGTTTGACGCTTTTACATGATTCTAACAAAGACAATAGCGGTGGGATTCCAAAAGGTAGCATTTTTTCCGTTTCCAAAATTCCAGTATTTCAAATCAAAATTCAGCTACCCGTCTTAAGACCATTGATCAAGATTGAAATTTTCCTTTTACCTCCCATGTGTTTATGATCCATGTAACGTAAAGCTAGCTTCTTTTTCATATTGGCGTCTGAAGGAACAAGTTCAATTGCCGGAAAAAAGCATGGTTTTCAGAACCGGACCGATTAGCGAATCGGTCATATTATCGGTTCATTGGTTCAACCGGTCGAATCGATCCGACCAGTCGGAAGAATCGAACGACGTCATAATTATTTAAAAAATTAAATAAAAATACCAAAAATATTTAATAAAAAATAATTTTGTATATCACAAATCATATTGAAAGCAAGTCATAACATATATAAGTTAAAAACCATAAAATCAAGTGAAACAAAATGATTCAAATTAACTACAACATAATATTTAAGATAAAACATATTAAATAATAAATATAATTATATAACTATAATTAAAAAATAAATTTTGGGCTAAAAAAATCATAACAATATGATATTGTTTGGTTTATTTTTTTAAAAAACAATCTCACATGGCTAAGAAACATAGAAGAACATCCCAAAAGTCTAAAGAGTAAAAATATGAGAACAAAACAATCCATGTGGCTAAGAAACATAGAAGAACATCCAACTAACTTCTATAAATAATAGAGGTAATTTGACATTCAAAATATTTGAGCCTTTTGGTGAGCATAGAGTGAACTATTATTTCACTTCAATCAAGCTCGAATTTTAGGCTTTAATCGAGCTTCTAATTTTTTTTAGTTCAAGCCTTTTCGAGTTCAAGTTTCAATATTATATTTCGAGTTCGAGTTGAACTTGATAACTTTTAGTTCGTGAGTTTGAGTTGAGTTGAGTTGAGCTTACTTTTAAAGTTTGAGTCGAGCTCAGCAATACTCGAGTTCGACTTGACTCGTTTAACAAACGACGTCGTTTGGTTTAATTTAAAAAAAAAACAAAATTGGCGGTTTTTTTCGATTTTTCCCGATTTTCAGCCGGTCCAATTTGAACGGTTCAACGGTTCCGACCGATTCACTAATAACGGTTTAATCGATTTAATTTGAACCGAACTAGGCAACAGTTTCCGATTGAACCGGCCGGTCCGGTCCAATTTTCAAAACAATGGAAAAAAAGCCAAGTGCTCCGGTGGGTCTCGGCTAATCTTTGTAAGTTTTGGATTGTTTCTACTTAAAATTTAAGGTTAAAAAATATAGAAATTTAGTGTGACCGAAAATATCATAAAAAAATAACATTTTACATTGAATACAATTTAAAATATTATATTTTTATAATATTTTAATTTATTAGAGTTTGACTCGAATTTAAAATAATACAAATTAATTAGAAAAAATAAAATTAAAAAATTTACAATTAATGACTAAGATAAAATATATTAACAATGGAGTGATTAAATCCGTAATTTACCCAAGAATAAAAGCAAAGCAGAAGTTCGAGAAAAACCTAGTCAATCCAATCATATTGGAAGTTGGAGCCACAGTTTTACACATCTCTGTTTTCCGTTCTTCACCAAAGTTGAGCTTGATTTTCATCGTAAAACAAACAAGGAAACATGCCGAAGAAAGGAGGAGCTTCGTTGCAAAAGGAGGCTCCATGGAGGGTCTCATCTGCAAAATCCATCCCCAAAATCCACCGCTCCCCTCTTCTGCGTTTCCCTCAAACCCCTCATTCCAACTACGCCCTCTTCGTCATGAAGGTCACCCCTCTCCCCCTTCCTTTTACTCATCTTTGTTTATAATCCTTTTCTATTCCCTTTCTCCTTTTTTTTTTGGCTTTTCTAATTTGGGGGTTTTCTTTTGCAGCACCCAGATCCCATCGGAAGTGGGTTAGCGACAGAAGCAATCGTGGAAGCCGCAGGACCCGAATGCATTGTTCCTGGCCAGTTTATGCCTATTAGATTGCTTGGGATTAAGGTATTTACTCCACAAGTAGTGATCTTCTAGGGTTTTTGATGTGTTTTTTAGAGGGTGTTAGACCCTTTGATGTGCTTTCAAGGACATTGGATGTTGTATCTCGTTTTAGCAAAGATTTCTGTGTTATGTTTGTATGCCATGTTATGTTCTAATCCATTGAGTGGTTTCAAGGGTGGGGTAAAAGACAACATTTTTCTCCATAAAAATTCGGGTTTGAGCAACTGCATCCGCAAAGTGTGTGTCCATTACCAGTGACTAAGACAAAATCTGAGTAGATACCTTGTAATCACTCTCTCGCTTATCATGCATTTTCGGGAAAAAGGCAACATAAACTCAAAAGACGTGCTTTACTTTCTCATCTACAATGTGAAGCTTAGAAACTGACTCCCCTTTATCTGCCCAAAGCATTGTGTCTGTTATAGAAATGTCTTTAATACTCTTATGTTATGGGTGTAAAGCTCAAATGATATTCACATATTTTATCTCTTTTCCACATTGACAGGTGTGGCCGATTGAAGTTAACATGAAATTTCTGGAACCAGTTGGTAAAGAACTAAAGTTGCTTGGAAAGGTAAACTCGATAGCTTTAGATGCTCTCCTCTCACAAGCAAACACACGAAGGTCCACTTATTGCCACGCACGTTTTTGTGATAAGCAGCTTTTAATTTTATTAACTTTATTTTCAGTGTAAATTTGTCATATTCATTTGAAATCAATCAACATGATTAAGAAAAGATTGTAAGCGTTTAGATAAACTAGTTTATGATGAAGCAAAATCCTTTTATATGTTTACGTGTTCCTTTTCCTTATATTAATCTTTTGATTATGAATCTCCTTTACTGGAAATAAGAGCTCTAGTTCTTGTTATTGAATCTGATGAGCACTCATGATTTGGAATGCAGTTCATGGATGATGCTGTCAACCTCATGAATAAATCGTTCATAGATCGTTAACAGTTAAACCTTTCAAACTACTGAAAGAAGAGGAAGAAGCAAATAGAGGTTGCAGAGTATTTTGGATTGTTGCAATGAAGAGTTGCATCATGTGGACCTGCAGAGTGACTGTAAATAGGATGCTTATACTGTTCTTTTTATATACCCATTGTTAGGTCAGGGCAGACACGTTTTGGTTCCGTATTAATTACCTCTTGTTAAAAAAAAGTAGTTGATGTGCATTTTTTAACAATGATATGATATTATCTTATGACGTTAGTATCTCTGTTAATTTTTTCTTACGACGGGCAACTAAAATGGAACTAAAATATAATGTTAAACACGATTTTGAAAAAAAAAATGTTTGGTAAACAAGATGGATCGACTAAATATGTAGTTTACATTTTATATATTAAAGACCAGATTTTGTGACACGTGTAATTTAGGGTATGTTTATTTGGATGTATTTGCTTTTTTGAAAAATGAATTATATTTATGGAAAACGTTTTTCGGAAAATGTTTTCCGTAAAATGAATTACATTTTTCTGAAAAAATCTGAAAAACGTTTTACGATGTTTGGAATATGTTTAATATTTTTTTTTTCACTAGTTGATGAGTTTTTTTAAAAATTATTTATTACAAATATTAAATACAATAAATAATAATATTTATCATAAAACTTAATATTATTATTTTTAAAATATTAAAATAATTTACTTATTATTAAATATTATTTTTATAATTTTATTAATAAAAATATTAATATTGTAATATTTTATTGAAATAAAAATATTATAAACTATATTAATTATTTATTAAAGTAATAGTGTTATATTATATTTTAAAAATATTAATTAGAATATTTTAAATATCTTTATTAAAATATTATTAGATTATTATATTAATATTAATATATAAATAATATTATTCATTAATAAAATAATATTATTTCTATGAAATTATAAATAATATAAATTTTATTAATAATTTATATATTATTAAAATAAAAATATAATATCTATATTATATATTATATTATTAGAAATATTAATATATTTTAAATATTTTAATAATTAATATTTTGATTAAAATGATATTAAAATATTTTATTAATATTAAATTCATAAAATAAAATTATTTTGAATATTTATTATTTGAAGTGAAAAGTTAGGAAAACGACTTACGTAAAATCAAATCGTAAATATTTTTTCAGAAAATACAAAGGAAATTATGTTGATCGGAAAAATATTTTACGTTGACCAACCAGTTTTCCTCCAACTAAATACTGGAAAATATTTTTCGAAAAACGAATTACGTGAACAAACACGGAAAAATATTTTCTAAAAAACGAATTACGTAAAACAAACTTGGGATTACAAACAGACCTTAGTTTTTACCTGTTTCTATTGATGTGTAATCTATAATGTTCATGCAGTGTTATGCTTAGTAAAATATAAACCCCTCGGGTAAGTTTTCATTCTGTTCCATGTAATTTAAATATTTCAGTTCTATTTTTGTGGGATTGACAATAAATAAAAAAATGAATAGATATTATTTTTATATTAAATTAAATACATAGTTTCATTTTAAGTTTTGTAAAATTTTATTTTAATATTTATAATTTTAATATCTTTTTAAAGTTTCAATTCAAACACCAAAATTTTATATTTTAAATAATGATTGTCCTTGAAAAGGATATTTTTCAAATTTTTTATTTTTGTGGTTTTATTTCTTATAATTTAATCTTGTAATTATAACATAACAATATAAAGTTTTAAAAATAATTATCCACGCCTTTTTTAAAAAAATTATCAAGTGTAGATAATTTTGTCTATTAATACAACATTTTTCTAAATAAACTTTCATAATCTATAATTCTTTTATTTCATAATAAAAGACACCAACTATTGAAATACCCATTTAATACATAATTCAAAAAGAGAAATCCTTTGAATTTATTTTTCAAAATACTTAACCCAGTTAATGGTTGTTCATTCAACCGTTTCATTATCCACAGATAGTAAAACCTCTCAACCCCTTTCAGTGTTTTTGGGGTTTTTTCGTGAGGGATATTTAGAGTGATTCAGGGATTTAGGGTAAAGATTGGTTTGATCGAAAGTTTCTGAGAGTACGAAAACATCTTCTTCTTTTTTAGTTTTAGGGTAAACTTGGTTTGATCGAAAGATTGTGAGAGCAAAAAGACATCTTTTTTCGGGTTCAAGGTAAAACATTGGTTTGATCGAAGAAGGTTTTTGCATAAAGGATAAAGAATGAGAAGTGACATTCATCACGAGGAAGAAGATTCAAATGCGAGATATAGTAAGTTCTGAAAAAATAATTTTAAATATTACTTCTTTTAAAAATCCCTAAAATCAAATTTTAATTTTTTTCAGAAAAAATGTTTAGTATTTTCTTCTGTTAAAAACCCTAATTATATCTTTAGGGGTTTCTTTTGTTTAAAAAGATTTAAGGGTTTCTTACGTTAAAATCACACACATATATATATTACTATTGATGGTATGTTAAAACCCTAGATAGTATGTCTAGGATCTTACTGTTAAAACCTTTTATATTTGTGTGTAATATATATGAGTTTAGAATTTTGCATGAAAGCTATGAATAGATTTTTGTGGCCTCCACATGGTAAGATTCTGATTATATTTGTCTGTTTATATAATTTTTGCAGTGCACATGTACAAATATTTAACTTTGCACTTGTTGTGGTCCCCACTGATTATGTGCTGTTATTAGTATAGTATTTTGAATGTAATTTCCACATGTGCTCATTAATTATTTGAAAAGTGATTCATATTGTTAGCATATTTAGTTACATGTTGATTAGTTATTTAAAATCAGTTACTGATATGATAATGATAATTTGTAAATTTTTGTTAGTATATTTAGTTACTGATTAATAATGATAATTGTAGTACATCAGGGGTTTTTTTGTTAAGAGACTAAGGTTGGAATTGTAACCCTCTCAGATTGATGCGGGTAACCAGATCTGATCTAGAGTGTCATATTAGGGCCACCGGAGCCATCCACCGTAAAAATAGCGAAAAATTTAAAACTTTTCTTAAAACTTGTAAACTCATAAAATGACTTATCAGTGTTTAGAAATAAAACAAGTTTCCAAACTCATATATAAAACAAAATACAATTACATGCCCCCAAATCACATGTACCATACTCTATAAGCAACACCAGAAGAACTCCCTTACTGAAGTCGATAGCTGCATTGGTACAATTCTTTTAGCCTGAAAAGATGAGTAACAGAGTAAGCTTCGGAAAGCTCAGTAATACAGAACTACCAGATGATGCTGAAGAACGTGCATATACATATAAACATATATTTTCTTATTGGTTTCGAACATTTATAGATTTTTATGCTGAGCAGAGATCTTACTGATATTTCAGGTGGTAACGGACAATGAGCTTTCAGTTCAGAGAAATATTTCAGATGACTGAGTTCAGGAGATCAGAATAGGTTATCTAGTATGTTCCTGTAAAACCAGTAAAAAGATTCAGATCTTTTAATATATATATATACCTCCATCCCATCACAACAGAATGTGTAGATTCCCCAGAACCATACACCCAACCCACACAACTTGTAAGGCCCTACACAAAGCCGAGGAACCTGCGGAAATACTTCCTTCAACAATACCCCTCAATTAAAACATTTTTCCGTTATTAAACGGAGATATCAGAAATCAAAACAGAATTCAGAACATATATCATAATAGAATCCAGATCAGAAATCAAAACAGAATTCAGGTCATGTATCATAACATAATTCAAGTCGGAAATAAGATAAAATATTTATATGATTAGGAAATACACCAGAGTTTACAAATATTATTCAGAGGTACTGGATAATCTTAGCAGGCAAAGAAACACAAATCTTCAGTATACCGATAGAATATCGGAATTTAGAATCACTATTGGAAAAGTTCAATAACTGACGGAATCATCAGTTGTTCAGAATGAGACTTGAGCTGATAAGGAAGAATTGAAGGTTCAGAACATTTACAATCTATGTCGATTGATCGGATTATCGAACAACTCTTAGATGAATAGTTCCCAGAACTAATACTTATCGACTGGTCATTTTGTTGTCCTTCTAGGGTATTTACACTTTAATACCAAAAATTCTTATCCATAGATCATCTTCAGAATCATCACTGAATAGATCTTCCAATATCTTTATTTCATTTTTACACTTCCACTATATCATCAAATACTGATGTGCTTGATTTGTAATTCATGATCCATAAGAACATTACATCATGTATGTTCATTAACATTTCTAGATTCATCCAAATCACTTATTTAATCCTCAGTCCTTGAGGTTACTTAATTTATTTATCATTCAAGTCCATTCTGGTTACTTCGAGATTTTCCAGAGTAATTCAAACGTTCCTAAATTTCAGATACATGTTGTACTTGTGTTCCATTCAATTTGGTCTTCGTAGTTGATTTGTCGAACAAACGTCTAATTCTTAGTACCGAATGCGATCTAGAGTTGAGTTGAGCTGAATACTTCCAAAATTTATTATCGAGCCAAACTTGAGAAGACGAGTATGCATTCCAGTAATATCTATGCCATTCAGGTATTGACATAGCTTTAGGGTTGATCTACTCACTTAAATTATGTTCCATTACTTTTAAAGGTAGTCCAATACCTATGCTTATTTGGATTCCTTAATTAATCCAAGACATTTACTTAGCATAGGTCATAAGGGTAATTTGGTCATTTTGGTATTCAATTTTATTTCGATCATTATAGAGCTCAAGAATATCTCATCATTCATGAGTTTGGTGGTATACTTGGGTCATTTCCATTATAGGGGTATTTTGGTCATTTTATAAATTCAATGTATTTTAATCATTTTCTTTCGTTCGATCTTACTATTAAATTCAATCTTATTATTTATTTCAATCATTTCGAACAATTATGACAACAGAATACCACAGACAAATTATTCTTCAGGTATTTACTCATTACTCGAATATTTTCGGGTCAAGTGCCTTCTCAGATTTTACAAACGGAATATCATGAATTTTTTTGTACAAAGACAGGATCTTAAAAATTAAATTCGTACTTAATCGAGTTAAGTACAAATCCTTAAAGTACTTTCTCATTCAGGGTCAACTCAGACTATTTTACCTCTCAAGGGCATTTTCGTAATTTCTTAACCAGATAATTTCAATATCAGCTCTTAACGAAAATAATTATAAT